AGACGGATACTTTGTGTGTTTGACTGTAGTCACTATGCTGAAATAATAATGTAGTAGGTTGTTTATGAAACAGTATCGCAGAAAATTTTAAGGAACATGCATGCTCCTCAGCATGTTAAACTGGCCTGAAAAACAGTTGTGCTATTTGCTGTTCAAATATCTGTTCTTTGTAAACGGATTTTTTTCCTAGAAGGACAAATTTGTTTAGTCTGCTGTAAGGCTCCAGCCTGTTCCTTTTGACATGTTTCACAAATATTCTGGATAAACTCTGAAGATCATGTTTTGAATGCAGTTCTTGCAGCAGGAGCTAGAGCTCGGCTGAATGCCCAGAGCTGGCAGTGCTGCCATGGAAGCAGTTCTGCCTCTCCCACCCCCACCACCCTGGTTACTGATTTTCTAACTCTCCTTTTGGTCACAAAAGCGTTTGCACTGCTGCACAGTAAACCTATTATCTGAAAAATAATCAGTGGGAAAATGGGTTAGTTTTCAACTGGGCCAGTTTCTTGACCTAGTTCACTGTATGATCATTAGATTGTTTTAAAAAAGGTGGGTTTTTTTTTTTTTTGAAGCGTTTGACAAACCTGGCAGTAAACTCTTGCTCAGTATATGCAAATAGAAGGGATGCAACAAGCTCGTGGCTAGGCTGGATAGCGAAATCGTTGCATGTCTGTGTGGCAGCAGGTTCTCTTCCTGTTATGCAAAAAATGTCCAGTGGAGTGGCTTATGTTAAAACTGTCATGTTTTTAAGTGTTTCATTAAGTATTCAGAATTGGGAAATTTTTAAAATGACGCAAATACTATTTGTGTGAATTCCTCTTGTGATTCATGCATTACTGATCAAACAGTCTACACTTAAGCTACCATGAAGTGGTGTTCATGAGGGAATAATTCATATCTGAAAAAATCTCAGCTTCTCCATAATACTGTATCATTTCTAAGTATAAACTTGAAGTGATACTTACTATATCCTTGTACAAAAACCTTCCACTGCCGCCTTAATAGCTTAATTCCTGATTAGAGCTTTAACTAAAGCTGGAGAACTTTCTTAATGACTTTTGAAGAAATAGGATCAGGCTCATTCTTATATGTAGCACTGATTCTGTTAGTCCAGTGGTGGAACTGAGTATTAATTTTCCTTTTTCTTCCTCTTCTGACAATAGAAATTGTCTCTAGTAGAAAGAATAGCGAAAGTCTCTGCAATATTATAACTGACTTCCATCAAAGTTTTAAAGAAGACACAGAACAAAAGCTGTGTTAAAATAACCAACTGTTGTATCCTCAGAATGAAGGAGCGAATAAAATAGAAGCTCCGGATGAGTGGCTTTCCCACCAGAAAGGAGAAGAGAACCTACGCATTCCACTAAAATACAGTATAGCCTTACTCACAGGGGCCTGGAGGGTTACTGTAATAAACATTTAAAAAAAAAAAATTACATGGACCTCATTGTTAAGAGTGGGTTTTTCCGAAGTAATCAATGTTGTTTATATGACAGCAGCATCTTCTCCTTGAAGTGGATTATGCCAAAATTAAGTCATTTTCAGTGCTTTCTGCCAGAGCAAGCCTTTTCTCCTTGACAGCTACGCAGCC